TTCTCAGTTGTTGCCTGGTCCAAGGATTTTTCTAGTTAAAATGGCTCTGTTAGCTTGTAAGTTGCAACAATGTCTTTCCCAGCCCTTTAGGCTGTTGTCTTTTCCAGCTTTTCAGACTGATGTTCATTTCAGTTGATTTGTTGTCGATTTCTCATACTTATATTCCTTGAGATATAGATAATATTTTATTTTAGTTTATTATGTTTGTTATTTCTCTTTAGGGTGAGTTGTTACAACCCCCCTCGTTTATTTTGATGTTATGTTTCTTAGTCTTTCTTGTTCAAACTTGTTACTTATGATCTATACCTTCCAGCTTGAGGGGAGTGTTGGAAAGAATATCTTCAGGATAATTTTATTATTTGTAAATATATATTTCTTTATTTCATTAAGATTTAGGTTAGGTTTGGGTTAAGCCCATTAGTATTTCTTTATATATTATACTCTTTTGAATTAATTAAATATACATATTTATTTTTAATATTCCTTTCGTATCTTGTTATTTTATAATTATAACTTTTCCAAAAAGAAACAAGCAATGTTCATTGAACTTGCCTTTTTCCAGAAATTTTTTTGTTATAAAAGTCTAAAACTCACTGGAATTTATGCTTTTGGTTATTTCTTTTACGATAGAAGAGGCACAAGTGTTTGATTTTGTACATTGAAAACAGAAAAATTGTCTTTCCAAAAAACAAAACAAGAAAAACCTGTTGTTTTGTTTATTTTTCAACAGCTAAAATATTTTAACTTACATAAAGAATTTGATAATAGGAAAACGTAATTGAAAAAAAGAAGAAGCATAAATATCAAGGAAAATAATTTATATATTTATATTTATGATCATATCCCAAAAGAGAACTAAGGAAATTTTTAGTTCTTTGACAAATTCGGATTATTTTTTATGTATAAGTATATATATTGTAAATTTATTGATTTATTTTTTAAAATTTGCTAATCAGTTTAAAGCACAATATGATGTTTACCCAAAAAAAGAAAAGAAAAAAGAAGAAGCACAATATAATTAAAGAAATAGGTGATGTGTGGCTCACCACACACGCACTCCCAATGAGTTTCCCTCAAACTAGGAGTGTGCATGGGTCAGGCGGGTCAGATTTTTGTGCCGACTCGACCCAACTTGGTTTTTATAGGTCAAATATTTTGACCCGACCCGCTTTAATTTGATACAAGTCAGGTTTGACTTAGTTTTGATTTTTTTGAACTAATACAGAACCGGGTCAGATCTGACCTGACTTGGTTTCTGATTTCGATGAAATTTCTACGTTGCAAACGACGAAAATTTCATCACAAAATTATTTTTTCGTCGGAATACTTTTTGTCAAAAAGAGACGAAATTTTTTCTCTAATGAAAATTTTTACAAAAATAAATTTTCTATCAAAATTTTCGACGAAATTTAATTTTCGTCAAAAGTTTTTACAAAAATGATTTCCTCCATCAAATGTTTTAAACGAAAAAAGAATTCCGTCAAAAATTTTGACGGAATGTTTTTCATTCAAAATTTCGATAGGAATGTGTTCTGACAAAGATTTCGACGAAAATTGTTTTGAGGGAAATGTTTCATTTGAAACTTTCGACGAAATTTAGATTCTCTAAAGAATTTTGACAGAAAAATTTTTTCGTGAAAATTTTTTATCTAAATTTTTTTTGTCAAAAATTTTTATGAAATTTTTTGACAGAAATGTGTTCTGTTGAAAAATTTGATGGAAATGTTTTTTTATCAAAAAACTTGACAAAAATATTTAGTCGAAAATTTTCGATGGAAATGTGTTTCGCTAAAAATTTTGTCGAAATTTTTTTTTTGTCAAAAAGTTTAATGAAAATGTTTACGTCGAAAACCTTCGCCGAAATTTGAATTCTGTAAAGAATTTTGATGAAATTTTTTTTCGTCCAAAAATTTCGATGGAAATGTGTTTCGTCGAAAATTTTGATGAATATGTTTTTGGGAAAAGTGTTTATCCTTTTAAACGACACAACTTATATCCTTTCACTCTCATAAAGAGGTGGGACCCACACCTTTTATTTTTTTTTTGTCAACTCTCTCTCTTCCTTTATCTATCTCTTTCTCTCTCTTAAAATGACACAACTTTACATCCTTTAAAATGATACACACTTTTCTCTATGTTTTTTAGTGAAATAATTTGACGAAATTTAGATTCCGTAAAAAAATTTGACAAAAAAAATTTTCTGTCAAATTTTTTTACAGAAATGTTTTTAGTCACAAATTTTGATGAAAATATTTTTTGTCAAATTTTTTTGATGAAAATATTTTTCGTAAAAATTTTTGACGTTATTGTTTTACGTTAAAACTTTTCTTTTAACGTAATTGTATTTTTTTTCTCATAATGGGTGTGGGTCAAGTTTTGGGTCAATGAGACATTATTAAAACAAGTCATGTCTAAAGCTGACCCAAATAAAAGTGGGTCAGTAATTAAACCCAGTTAAAAAAAAAGTATTTATGGATCAGGTCAATGTCAGATCAAAGGCAGGGCAAGTGAACCAATTTTTTCCACACCCCTACCTCGAACCATTGCAAAGGGGTTCAAAAAATTCACTCAATTTTTTGCTGCCAAAAAAAGTTTCTACATTATTTTATCATTTCTGTGATCTTTTCAAGCATTTGATTGTGTCCTGGGACTTCAACACCAGTGGCAAGGGCAAATTCGCTTTAAGACAACAATTTATTTTGAGCTTAAATTTTTTGCATTCATTTGAATTTACTCTGTTCCTCTTTAAGGTTCTTGCTCTCTTATCGTTTCTGTTTTCGGGTTTATTTACACAGATTCTTCGATTCTGCTTTCATTTATTGTTTTATGTACACTGACAATAACATTTAGTTCATAAAAGCATCGCAATCTGAGTGGATCGGAGTCATGTCTCATGAATTAATAGATGTTACGTCTACCAAGATAAAAGATTATGGATAATTAGCGTGCAAATTTTGTCAATGGATAGATCATAGTACATGCACACTCCTTATCCTTTTTTGGTAGGGTATTGCCGGTGATTCCTAAGTCAAATTGGTAATTTTGTCAAGTATATATATACATCATTTCTAATGATGATACCTTTTTTTTTTTTGGGTAAGGAAACGAGTACTGTACTAATTAATATATTTCATTCCAGTTAAAGGTTATTAGCCAGTTAATGGATAAAGATAACTTTGAACCATATATGATTTGTATTACAGAGTGTAATTTTGCATTCAAAAATTAAAAGCTGTTAATATAAACTTTTTATTAATATTCCATTGTATAATAATAATTTTCATGGTCTAGATTTCATACAGTTCTAACAAAACTGATGAGAATTCATTTTAATACTTTCGATGAGTTTTGCTCCAGTCTTATACACATCTTACCTTCTCTTGGCACTAGGGTTGTAAATTGGTCAAAAGATCTATTAAGGGCTTGTCACAGATTAAATTTGACCTAATATATTAAGTAAAATAAAATAAGTTTAGATATAAAAAAAAAAAAACTCATTTAAAAAATAGGTCACATACCTACTTTTACAAGGTCTAATTTTCAAGTCTATCTGACCTATATCATATTAATTTTTATAATTAAAATACAATAAAATAATTACTTAAATAATTTTAATTAATAAAATAATATTTTTATTTATTTTTTCTTCAGTCTCGAAGGTCTAATAAATTTAAATAGACTAAAAGATTTTGGCCAGAGATTTTGATTTTTAAATAAAAGGCAGACTAGATATATAATTTAACTTATATTTGATCAATGGGGTATGATCCGTTTACAATTTTTTTTTTACAAATTACACTAAGTATGATCGATCATACACTCTTGATTAAAATATAACCGGTCAAACATAGTATAATTTGTAAGAGTTTGTAAACAAAAAATTTATAAATATAACCTTCCTTAATTAGTAGGCCATATGAAATTCAACATATTTTACTTAAATTTAATTTATTAATATCAAAGTCTATTTTGACACAACCCATTCTAACCTCTGCACTATATATCATTATATCATCATTACGACCTTCTCACTTTCGTCGCCGTCATTTCCAAATCACTCCCATTCTGGAAGGCAATTATGATTTTCATAACAAACAAGCCAGTTGACTCCCCCAGGCCCATTACCATTTATGCAATACCCACCTAACTGGAATTAAATATTAAATGAGCCTTTTCATTCTTACGAAAACTTTATCTATCGCAATTAACAAAAATAACATAACACACTAAGAGTTCTACTTATTAATGATAATTGTATAATATGCTCCTATTTTATTTGATTTTGTATCAAGATTAAGGAAAAAAGGTGTGTCATTTTAAGTGACACACCTTACATTCTTTCACTCTTACAAAGAGGTGGGACTCACATCTTTAAAACTTTTTCTCCCCACTCTTTTCTTCATGGTTTATCTCTTTCGCTCACTTAAAATGACACAACTTTATGTCCTTTGAAATAATAGACACTTTTTCCAAAGATTAATGCCCAAAATTTACATTTTCTCGGTCTACTAAATGCAGGCTATACAACAGTAAGTTAATCCATTTATACCTTTCAATAAGTCTAACAACTCACTCCAAGTTAGTGGGACCTCGACCAATTAAAAAGCAGTCTTTATTATAACTTAAGTATTCCAATGAAAGTTTATAGGCAAAAATCCTCCTCCATTAATGCTCGTGGCAAGAATTTTCTGAGAAGGTAAATTCAGACCTTGCAAGGTAAGGCTTCAAAGTTCCCATTGAAGTTAACTTTACACTCTCCGAGATGAATCTCTTTAAAATTTTACCCTCACTTTTCTAATTAGGCTAACGTCTTTTGTATATATAAACGTACAATTAGAGAAGCAATCAGATCGTAGCTTCAGTCCAAAACAATTTTAAGAATTAAACTGAAAGAATCAAAGCTAAGATTTGGATGAATCTTGTGAGAACACAGATCACTTAACTTTTACAGTCTCTACAGTTAAATTAGTAAGGATGTTTCCTGCTCTCTCTGTTTTAAATCATAGCCAAGCTTCCGCGGGAGACGGTGTCGTTTTGCTCATGTAAGGACATGAAGAGCTTACAAAACCATTCACCAAGTGAAGATACGTCTTGAGATCATGACACGTGGCAACGTTTCCTTTTGTGAGGTACGGTGATTCCCTACTACTTAACCTCAGCTCCTGTCCAACGTCAGCATACACCAACTGCATGTTTTCCATGCGCCTGCGGAACCAGTTCTGTAGGTTTCCAACGTGGACACCCTTATTGCATTCCACGTCATCAGAGTTAACCACGAGCCCCGGTACTTTTGTGATGACATCATCGGAGTTGACAACTCTTAATATCCTCGTTCCACTCTGTTCTAAGTGATTTCTGAAAATGTCGTTACCCACGCGGGGCCCACCGAAGGAAACGACAGTAACCATGGGGGCATTTTTTAAGGTGGTGGTTATGTCGTACGCGCTGAGAATAGCGAGTGCGGCTCCAAGGCTGTGACCAGTTATTGTTAAGCTGAGTGGCTCATCACCATAAGTTTGGATCACTCTTGCAATCTCCTCCCTCACCATTTCTTGCAAACTTGGACATTTGGTTGTTTTGGACACATAGAGACTCAAAAATCCATTTTGCACCATACAACCTAGACCATTGTTGCTCTCACAATCACACCTACTACTACTACTTCTACTACTCCCAGTCATATCATATGGTAATTTTGTCAAATTTGCACGAAAATTTTCCAACCACTCTAACCAAGTAGCTGTTCCTCTAAGAGCAATCACTATATCACGCCGGCCAAGTCGTGCAATTTCCTCCTTGTCTTGACAAACTGCCACGTAACCAATCCAACTGGATTGGACAAGTGACAATTGAGATATGGTGTCAACCCACTTCGGTAATTGAACTCCACATGTGACACGCAAATTCTTGGTTATTTGGTATCCGGATCTTTTCATTCCAGATCGGGTCAAGAGCGAGCGCTTGGAGTAACGACACGTGGCATAAGAAGGAGAAGAGGTGTCAAAGTCAAAAGAGCGATAAGCTGCTTCTACAAACTGGCCGTATCTTAAGATTTCGGAGCGTAGGTTATCATCAAGAGGATCAAGCAAGCCTTCCCAGTTGTTGATTCCTTGGTATTGCATCCACTTGTGACCAAGTTTGGGAGAGTTGTAGCATTGCCGGGAGTCACGGTTGAGACGACCCCAAGAGAGGTGAGACTTGTTGAAAGGCAAGCTAGTTGTGGGGGCGTCGGTGGCATGTGGGAAAGTTGGGTTGGGTTTGGACATAGTGAGGGAAGTGTGTGGTTGTGTAGTAGGAGTTACTGTAATTGCAAGCCTCATTTTATAGAGACAGGTTTTGGCTTATTGGGAGTGTGTGATGGGGATATTATATCTTCAAGACTTCAACTTGTGGGTTATCTGACACAACTGATGCTATTTGGGTTATTTGAATGGCATTTATATGAGGAAAGTGGACGGTGGAGGAAGAGAGAGAGAGAGAGAAAACGAGTGTGACATTTTAGTGATATATATGGGTAACTGAAAAACGGCTGCGGAACTGTTGGTGAAGTGAATGATGGAAATTAGTGAAATATAGAAAAGAGGGTTGAATTCAAAGGATTTTGACGCGGGTGGCGGGACCTAAATAACAAGGGTGTTAATTTTCACGTACTCAAAGAATATACACAGGCGGTAAGTGTTTCATTGCTGCAACTCGGTCACGACTTCTTTGCATGGGACCACAGGAGGTAAGTGTTTAACCTTTACCAATAATCGTAAAACTACTATTATTTTTCATATTATAGCAGAACATTTTAGGGTTTAATGTTATTGAAGATAAAATTATATTTTACATATTTTGTAACTCATTTTTAACTATATATATAATTTTAATATTAAAGTTATTTTTCTTAACTATGTATTTTCGGAGTAGAAAATTAAAAAATAGTGGTAAGAATGAACAGTACCATTCCTGTAACATGATTTTTATATTTCTGTTTAAACATATAAAAATATGAGGTTTTTTTTTTTTTTTTCCTTCTCACACAGGTCCTTTGGCTCGAAGGTGTATATTGCAAAGACTCAATTTTTGGGTTACCTTATGCTTATTTAATTCCATTACAAAGTAAGGGGGAGGTGATGATCGAACTCGTGACTTTGTGGTCAGTGAAACTCTGATATCACGTAATGAACCAATTCAACCCAAAACTTTAAGGTACTGGGTGAGAGCCTTTTTAATAGTTTATATTATTCTCTAACACACCTCTCACGTAAGAGCCCTTTGGACTTGAAGCGTGGATATTACACAAGCCCAATTTTTGGTTTACCTTGTGCTTATTTAATTCAATTAGAAATTATTTTTGGTTTACCTTGTGCTTATTTAATTCAATTAGAAAGTGGGGGATGTCGGAATCGAACTCGTGATCTTATGGTCACTTAAGCTCTGATACTATATAAAGAACCAATTTAACCTAAAACAGTGTTGGGTGAGAGCTGTGGTCGCAAGGTCAAGTGCAGAGGCAGAATATCGGGCAACAGGAAATGCAACCTGTGAGCTCATCTGGCTAAAACAATTGCTTAAGGAACTACACTTCTGTGAACAACAACCCATGAAGCTCATTTGTGACAATCAAGCAACATTGCATATATTCTCTAACCTAGTCTTTCATGAGAGGACCAAACATATAGCGATTGAATGTCACTTTGTTAGAGAGAAGATTCAGTCAGGAGAGATTGAAACAACATTTGTCAATTCCAGTTATCAACTTGCAGATGTTTTCACCAAGGCTCTTAGACGTCCCCGAATAGATCACATATGTAACAAGCTGGGAGCTTATGATATATATGCACCAGCTTGAGGGGAGTGTTAGACATAATATAATATTAAATAGCATTGTATTATTTATTATTCTAGCAGGTTATTTGGGCTTGGCCCATTAGGTCATTTAATCTCTTTAAATAGAGGTCTTTTGTACAATTCAATATACAATTGAATACAACATATTCATATATTCTAATTATAATCAAAACTAGCCCTTTGGTGGAAGCCTTTGGCCACTAGTCTAGCCTTACTTGTTCATACTCCGATCCGATATGGGTTTTCCTTTTGAAGACCCACTTGCATCCTATCGCCTGCCTTCCATGAGGTAAAGGAACAAGTTGCCAAGTGTTATTAGTGAGAGCTGGTCAAGGCTTGCTTCATAGTAGAAGGCTCAACATGTGTGAGCAAGGCTAGATGTCTGGTTGCAAGAGCCCTTTGACTTGAAGCGTGTATATTGCATAGACCCAGTTTTTGGTTTACCTTGTGTTATTTAATTCCATTACAAAGTAGGGGGAGGTGAGAATCGAACTCGTGACCTTGTGGTCAGTGAATCTCTGATACCACGTCATGAACCAATTCAACCCAAAATTTTAAGGTATTGGGTGAGAGCCTTTTTAATAGTTTATATTATTCTCTAACACACCTCTCAAGTAAGAGCCCTTTAAACTTGAAGCGTGGATATTACACAAGCCCAATTTTTGGTTTACCTTGTGCTTATTTAATTCAATTAGAAATTATTTTTGGTTTACCTTGTGCTTATTTAATTCAATTAGAAAGTGGGGGATGTCGGAATCGAACTCGTGATCTTATGGTCACTTAAGCTCTGATACCATATAAAGAGCCAATTTAATCTAAAACCTTAAAGTGTTGGGTGAGAGCTTTTTTAATGACTTTACTCTTTATATTATTTTCTAACAAATTTCATCTCCAATAATATTAGAAAGATTAAACCCTACATTTTATTGCTAAAAGGTAAAACTCCGTAATCATATTTTATATATGACATTTTATATCTTCATATGCCACAAGCAATTCAGAACCATAGTTTAATTAAATCTGCATACAATTAAAGCTTTTGACGAAAAGACACTTGGAGTTTATTTGAAGTATTTTTTTTAAGTTAAAAGCTATTTTTATGTTGAAGTTAAAAATAAAAACTTAAAACAAATTAAAAAAAGCTTAAAAGTATAAGAGTTTTTTCATTTTTTTATAAGAAATTTTTTTAAAAATATATTTAACTACATTTCTCCTTTTAAAAAATAATCTTAAAAAAATCAAAAAGCAACAACAGATTAATACCAGGGGGCGGTTCCTGCCAAAATAAATGATTAGTCTGCCAAAATAAATGTATTTGCTAGCCAGTCAACACAAGTATTACCCTCTTTAAAGGTATGTTGAAAATCAACGTATAGAATTATGTCATTTTAGTCAAAATTATTATTTTTTATGGTGAAAAAACAGTTACATGACAAAAATCATGGTAAGAGAAAGTGTGAGATTTTTTTCATTTTAATATTAAATATATGATAATAATTTTAATTAAAATGAATGTGTTTTAAAAGGACAAATATTTTTTCCTTTATGAGAATATATGAAATCCAAAGATTTGAAAATTAAAAATGCCATAGAAAAGTATTTATGAGGGATGTGTTTTTCTACCTATTTTTTTCTCTGCCTACCATTTTTCAACACTGTTAGATCATAATCTCAAGAGGAGAGAGAAATGATAAATGTTAGTTAAGATTCTGATCTAACAGTATTAGAGAGCGATAGATAAAGTAGTTATGGAAAATGAATATGTAGAATAACATATCCTTTAGGGGGCGTTTGTTATGCGAATTTTTTTTTGGTAATCTGGGAAAAGTTGTATGCCATGTTTGGTACCAAAAAAAGGACAAGTTTCCTGGATAAAAATATTTTCCGTTTTTTGGTTTTGTTTGCAAAGTTAGGTATGGCAACGTAAACTTTTTGCATATTGAATATGTGGAATACTTTTTAGTTTGGGGATGTGAAAAGCAAAAGCGAATGAGATGACCAAAATAACATTGTCTTATTGTACAATGTGTGAAGTTATGGAGTTCGGTGAAGTGATTTGGTGGGGTTATTTTCGTAAAGTAACCTCACTTTCCCACTAATATTTAACAATCAACCAAACACACACAAGTAAATTTATCCATAAAATCCCTGGGAAAATCTGGTCATGCCAAACACCTTTTGCTAACATTCCAGTAAAAATATATTTTCTACTACATTCCAGTAATAATTATTTTTTGGATAAATAAAAATTTGTCTTCCACCAAACGCTGCGTTAAAGTATAATCGAGTATATGTAGGAAATCCAAAGTGCGAAGAAACGACAGAGAGATGCAGAGTTGTGCTGTCAAAAACAAAAATATTCTTGCGACAGTTCATTCTTATCCTTCATTTCTTTTTAATCGCTAACGAGCAGTATTAATCTTTTGCTATCATATGAGGACTGCTCACTCAAATTATTTAATATTTGCTTAAACTTTGTGGATTAAAGTTAACCAACGAATAACATGAGGATTAATTAAGCAAGTTGCTTTTGTTTTCTTAATATATAGACAGATCTTAGAATAATTAGCATTAGTAGTTAATGGATAGCGAAGAATCAAACTAACTAATTTTCTCTTTTTGTTAAATTAGATTTCTTTAACTGTGTGCTTATGCAGCAACTTATCCTCCGTTATCGTCACACCTTTACTTTTTTTCTTCTTCATATTATAGTGTTTATTTATTTACTTTTTCAAGGGAGTGGAGGTATATCTCGTCCTGCTGTCCCTTTTGAAGTTGAATTCGATTTCGAATTCGGGCAATCAATATAAAGAAAAGGAGAAAAATATGAAATCGCTAATACTTTTATCTCTTTTTGATATAAGATGAGATCTATTAATTAATAAAAACGTTACTTATACATAAATGTGAGTTTTATGTTTCCTCAAGCTATCCTTTAGTCGAAGACTAATCCTCTTGAGGTATAGAGATTACTGAATTGAGTTTAGCGTCTATCAAGAAAATATTTTCTATACACACTCTAAAAATCGAATCTCTGTCAGCATATGTTTAAGGGACCCAATCGTCTACCAACTGTACCGAGTTTTGTTGGTATAAATGTGAGTTTTGAATATCACACAAAACTGATCATACAGTAGGTTAAAAATTAATAGTAAAGAGCAAAAGAAAGAGAGAGAAAACATAACAATAATAATAAAATGTTTTTTCTGTATAAAAATATTGATTAGTTAATTCTAATAAGCTGTTTTTACACAAATATTTTCAGTTTACTTTTTGGCTAACTCACTTTTATTGTACATTCTCAATTCGTTGGGTTTATTTTGTCATCCATAGTGCCATAATCTGGATTCCTAACCATCTTATTGGGTGATTCGGCACGAATAAAATATTGAGTAAAGCAACTTATTCAATACGGTACGGTTTCTGATATCATTTCCATTTAAAAATTAGACTTTTGATGATGAAGTAAGCAAAAAAGGAAAGA